ATCAAGTTTAAGTAAATTAACTGTCAGGCGTTTTAATCAAGCGATACCAAAGCCCATAAGCCACGCCATATAACTCAGGTAAGCAGGCATGGGGGCACACACGGCTGCAGGTAGTTGGGAATTCCTCGTTGTGAATGGGAGAGTTCGGCACATGGCAACATGAAAATTTAAATTTTTACGATAATTAGCATGAAGAGTAAAAGTAATTTGAATATTATTCGAATATGTAATATCTGCATTTATGTAACATGCGCAATATTAAATATTTATTACTATTTATGTACACTCTTTTTTCCCCAAATCCATAAATCTTTTAAATTGAATGCTTTTAAAAGTTACAATGGTATTCTAAGAAAACTATCTTTGTAGATTGATAATTTAGATATCATCATATATATTATAAATTATTATCATATATAGAGGTAATATTTATTTCGATTTACCATAACTACTATACTTATCATCAACTATACGAATGATATTATTAGGTATGAGTATTTTTTGAGGAATCTAATTTCTAAACAGCTTATTCCTTTGTTATTAATCTATTTTATTCTTCTTGTACATCTACTTCTATAAAATAAAAAAGTTATTAATCTAGCCAAGCGATATCTTCTCTAACCGTAACTTTTTCAACACACATTCACACATTCTAATACGAACATGTAAGCTTGTGTTTTAGAAGAAAATGAATCGAGCTGCAATTGCTTGCAGCGTTCACAAGCTTTGTGGGTCAAAGGACCAAGGCAGAGCGCATAAATCAGCTGCCATATTTTCGTTGTTGGATGGGCAATCGAATTACGAGTAGCAAACCTGAAAGGGCGACGGAAACGGAAGAGGACACGGACACGGAACCGGAACCGGGACCGGGACCGGAAACGGAAACGGCCGCCTTTCGGGGCGAGGTCTTTATAAATGCTGGCAACCAAGCAACAAAGAGGCGACGATGTCTGCCAACTGCAGCTGAAGCTGCAACCGGAGCTTCGCGATGACGCACTTATTCGTAAAATATGCTCCGCGCAAATCAGGCAATATCCTAAAGGGCAGACGCAGCTACTGCCCGTAATACATATGCACGTATATGTACATACATATATCCACTTCAATTAGCCAACAAACTTTGTGTGCTTCACACACAGTTTTAGCTTTCGGTAAACCCATAAAAAATTAGACATTCCATTATTCTATAATTCATTCCATTCCATAGATTCCATTAAAAAAATTGAATAGTAAGCGAAATGTTTTTTGAATAATGGTTATAAATCATCTGTGTTTCATTCCTTCACAATGCCAATGCACACATCGGGTGTTATTTTTAATTTACAGATTTGCTATAGAATATTTCTATCATATATTGCAAATTCCATTGAAATTCGTTAAATATTATGGAAGATTTCATATAAAACGTTTTGGTAAATGGGCAAGAGTATTTTTTTATAAAACATTTTAGCACATTAAAATATGTGCAAAAGTAAACTAATTTATCCCTTAATGGTCGCATTAAAATATCGTAATTAGTATGTGTGAAAAATTGAAATCGAAAGGGGAATTCAAACAATATTTCCTCCACATATTCAGCAGAGTCAGGTTATAACGACTCCGCTTATAGCGCCTTCCGCTCAAGGAACCGTCGTTATAATCGGATGCTATTCTATATGTATGTATACACTTAATTTATTCGGCTAGCCCTCGTACTGGATGCCAACTATTGGCAAAAGTAACTTTCAAATGGTTTTTTAAAGTCATTTCTTGCCACATCTCTCACGAACTAATATAAATTTGTTTAGCATTGACAATTTGCTTAAAAATTGCAATAACGAAACTTAACTGTATTTTTGGTTTCAGAATATATTCTTGCACTTACGCTGCTTTATTTAACTTTTATATTTTTTTGTTTATTAAACATTCAGAAGTTGCATTAGCACAACTGTTTCACGAAATATATACATAGTTAAGTGCAGTGAATACTTGATATACGAAAGTCAGAAGCTTAAACTGTAGTCGCGTACAGTTGCAGTTGCACTGTTTTCTGTTTACGCCAAGCTACGACAGCAGCATCACCAACAGCTTTTTGGCGGCAAGGCAAAATGTTCTTGCGCACTAAGTGCCACTACCGAAAGTTTTATTTCAAATTTGTAACGGGTAATTCACTCACTTCTAGAAGCTGAATTGCACAAAGCTTAAGAAATTGAGGTTGTTGCTTATCAATAAATGTAATGAACAACATACATATGTACATATGTATGTTCATATGTATTTGACTTGGAAACTGTAGAAAAACCGCACGAATTAAATTTGCATTTAAAAGCTGTTTTTTACGAGATTCACTAAACTGATCACATGTATGTATCTTTACACATTCATCGATATCAGTCGATATTTGAATATTCCGATTAAGATTAACATCCCTGGCTGCAATATTTTCCAAGGCGTCATTTTTATATTCTTATTGGGAATCTTGTATTGAACATGCTACCAGTTTAAAATTTTCGAATATAAGTTTTACTCACCCGTTTGTATTTTCATGCATTAAAAACAACATAGCTAATGAAATATCGACGCACTTGTAGTCAATTGTACCATCCCATACACGCAAATGCATGTACACAAAAAATGCGACAGAAAGAGAAAGAGAGCGTATAAAGAATGGGGGAAAAACAAAATGAGTAAAATGCCGGAATAGCAGCGTTGCCAGATTAAATAGTGCCGGCTTAAAGCACGAAATAATTGAAATTTACAGCATATTCATTAATGGTACATCTAACAATCAAAATAAACGAATTCGTAGTATTTTAAAGAAGGGCTTCTTTAGAATTGGCTATTAATGTTAAGAGATTTTATTCTTATAAACTGCTTTATCCGCCTATCTGGCAACTCTTCTTTAACAATGTGCGTGCAAGCGAGATGACCAGCGTATCGACGCGTAAAGCACTTATCAAAATAATGAGCAGAAAAAAGTGTTGGTTCGTTCCTTCCCACCGAATTCGCTATTTGAAACGCGACGACGAGAAGACGACGACGGCGACGACAGCGCAACTTGTAGCAGTGAAAATATTTATACAAATTATTTACTGTGTAAAAATCGAAATACTTAATAATTAAATGAAGTGAAAATGTAAATGCATTGTTTGCCCATGAGATGAAATTCATTTAAAATGTATTTCAACGCAATAACTCGCTGTGAAAATTTCGTCGTACAGGCAAAAAAGAGCCGATTTTTAGTGAAAGAAGAAGCAGTAGTAGCAGCAGCAGTGAAGGCAGTAAAAGCAATCGTCGACAACGACGACGAATACATGCATAAAGCGCAGTGCGAATGAAAATTGTGTAAAGAGAAACTTGCAAAAATTACAGCAACAACAACAAAAAGCAAGGCGAAAAGTGTGTTTAGAAAAGAAATTAAAAACACACACATATACACACAAACACACATATTAATACAATTGCAAGTACAATCGCAATTTTGAGAATTGGTGCAAAACGTCGACAAGCGCGCGGTTTAATAATAAACAGTTATATGTATGTATGTTGTGCAAAACCATATGAGAGACGAAGAATACAAATAATCAATGAAATTGTAATAAAATTCCGTATTTTGTTCTCTTCATCCTCCATTTCTGTCTCTACCATGCGACCGCCCGCTCTCTCTTATTTTTATGATTAAATTTGCCAATAACAGCGAACACAACACAAAAACATTTTTACAACTAACAAAAACAAAAAAGCCAGCTCAACTATATAATACAATATGCACACAGTTTAATTATACAAGGTGCGTATGCAGCAGTTACAACAACCAAATTTAGTACACTGTAAATAAATTATAGTGTTCCTGCGTATGTGTTTGTATAGTTCAATGTAGAACGTGTGAGAAGAAAACCCGCGTACAAAAATATGATGACGTCTTCAAACTAAGGTATTGTTGTTTTTCTTGTGGTTGTTGATTTTGCTAGTGAACAGCAGCAACAATGGTATCGAATAGTATCGCAACGTATGTAATGTACTACAGAGAGGCACACACAACTAAATACATACATACATGCCTTACTACAGTATACCGGTATTTTGTAGCCCCCTGGTAGAAGAAGCCCAGCACGCTGTGATGCTGTTGTTGATTAACAACAACAAGAGAAATAACAACATCGAGATTGGGTTAGAAGAAACCCAGAAAGTTTGAAAGGCAAAACAAAAATTGAAGCTGCCAACCGAACCGTGATGTAGTCGAATTTGAATAGGCACCAAAGAGTTGACAGTGCAACAACAACAAAAGCCAAGAAGTTATATTTTACCTGTGCAGTGCGTCAATTATCAATTCTGTCCAAAAAGAGAAATAATGTACAGAGAGATTTGGGATTTGAAAAGAAAACATGTTCATGAATTTAATTAAATTCATTTAAATTCCAAACCATTTGCAATACAAGATAATGAATTATATTGTTGTAATTATATTATTATAATATTTTTTATTATATTGTGATAATATAAAAACATGTTGTTTATTGTAACTTTTTTTTACAAAAAATTTGAATCATTGTAGGAAGATTTTTGACATTACATTACATTATCAAACTTATAAATTAATTATCAGGGATTCCACTTTTTAATAAAATTCAAAACCACAATTCGGGACATATATAAAATAAATGAATTCTTTATTCTTCGAGCACATAATACTAAAGAAACTGAACTATATATAATTTTATTTGAACCAATAATATTTATAGATAAACTTCTAATAGAAATGGAATTGAAAGGATTTTATATTAATCGATGACATACCCATAAAAATGATACGAGTTTCCACCTTTTACAATAGATAGTTTAATACAGTCTACAATTAATTTTTAGACATAATAATATTAGGTAGGTGTTAGATCTCTATTAATTCCCACCGACTGCAGATGTATTCAAAATTACATTACATTCATATACATACATATATAAGCTTCTACCTATGAAATCGCTGCATTGACGAATTTCTATTTGCATATCTACATATGTTGACTGTCTTACACAGTTGTAAAATCGCAACACACCTGTCCCTGTGCCCCCGTTTACGAGTTTCTTATCAACATGCTCGCTTTTTGTGTCAGTATGCGACCACTGTACCGAGCAGAATAGAACAGTGTGCACGAAATTTGATTTGAATATACATAAGCATTTGACAGTCAGCGCGCGGCAACAGAAGCAGATTACGCTGCCCAGCTAGCTGTTCTGTTCCTTGCCTTTTTCAACCTACAAAAGCGAGCATCACACACACTCTTACTCACCTGGTGAGCAAATAGAGGGGAACACACATGACTGAACGACGCACTGAAAGTGCGTGCAATAAGTTAGTGTACAGCAAAACCAACGAAAATTCACAAATTTCATAAATGCTTAAACTGAATAAAATAGTTGAGTTTATTTCAATAGTTCACAATATTGAAATTAATTGAGACATAGAAACACTCCAGTTATTACACTATTAACAGTTGGCACGTGTAACATACTTTTTAGCTAACACTGTAGCACTTGTGCCGTCTTGTCGACAATGCGCGCGCTCCCTCGCTCTCACACGCGCGCTCAAGCCGCAGCCATACTCTCACTCACACATACAGTTTTTGCAAACACACCATACAAGCATACAAACACACTCGCTCATTTGGCTCTCTTTGCTTATATATTTTTTTTCTGCTTTCAGTGGTTGTGCAAGAAGAAGCAGCAACAATCAGGCAAAATACCTGAAAAAATAAAGAAAACATAAACGGTAAAACGAAGAAGTGGCTACAGCAAGCAGAGGCAGCAATTCAAGGTAGCGCGCTAAAAGTTTATTGTAAAACCCAAAGTAGAAGGCACAAAGTGATTTTAAAATTTCTGCTGCTGTCGAACAAACGTTAAACAACACATAAAAACATTAAAAATATAAAGAAAAATAAAAAATGGTGGAAGCAATAGAGCGGCAGAGAACGGCTGCGTGAGCAGCGCGAGATCGGAGCGCCAATTATAAAATAACAGCAACAACTGCAACAACAACACACTTACAATAGGAACAGCAACAAAACGGCATAAGCAAAATAAGAAGAGCATAGAATAGCAACGAAAGCAACCGAAACGAGCGCGCAACAGCCGTTGGAACCAGCAGAGGAGCCGCTCAAAAAAGTAACGCTAAGTAAAACAAAATTTAAATAAAGTGGAAGTGGAAGTTGGAGCACAATAGCGAACGACAACAACATTGCTAGGTGTAGAACAAACTCGAAAGAAAACTAAAATAACATCACATCAAAAACAACAACAGCAACAAAAGTTCAAGAACACAAGAACAACAAAACAGAATAACAGAATGTACGGTAAATCGAAGACATCCGCCGTGCCGTCTGATGCGCAGGCCAGAGAGAAATTGGCGCTCTATGTGTACGAATATCTACTGCACGTGGGCGCTCAAAAGGCGGCACAGACATTTCTCTCGGAGATCCGATGGGAGAAGAACATAACACTGGGTGAACCACCGGGATTTCTGCACACCTGGTGGTGTGTTTTCTGGGATCTATACTGTGCGGCGCCAGAGCGTCGCGATCAATGCGATCACAGCTCGGAGGCGAAAGCCTTCCACGACTATGGCTTTGTTAGCTCCGGCTATGGTGTGAATGGCATCGGTCCTGGTGGACCACACAATGCCGGTGGTCCAGCACCCAGTCCACTCGGCCAGATGCCGCCGGGCGGAGATGGTGGCCCAATGGGACCCGGCGGACCAATGGGTCCCAACTTTTTCCCAAATACGACAATGCGGCCCTCGCCGCCAACGCATGCCTCAAGTCCACAGCCGCCGCCTTCGCAAATGATGCCAGGTCAGCCTCCATTTATGGGCGGACCACGGTATCCAGGCGGACCACGACCGGGCGTGCGCATGCAGGGCATGGGTAATGAGTTTAACGGCCCACCCGGACAACCCATGATGCCTAATAGCATGGATCCAACGCGGCCTGGACCGGGAGGCGGCATGGGTCCAATGAATCCGCGCATGAATCCGCCACGTGGGCCCGGCATGGGACCCATGGGATATGGTGGACCGGGCGGTATGCGAGGCCCAGCGCCAGGCGGACCAGGCGGCATGCCGCCGATGGGAATGGGCGGCGGCGGCGGACGACCGCCTCAATGGCAGCCCAATGCGTCAGCACCCATGAATGCATACTCTTCATCGTCGCCCGGCAATTACGGACCCGGACCCGGCTCGAACGGCCCGCCTGGTCCCGGCACGCCCATCATGCCCTCGCCGCAAGATAACACGCAAGGCGGCCCAGTCGGCGGACCTGGCGATAGCATGTACTCATTAATGAAACCAGAATTCCCCATGGGCGGAGGCCCTGATGGTGGTGGCGGCGGGGGCGGACCAGGTGGAATGGGACCCATGGGTGGCGGTCCCAACTCCATGGGCCCCGTACTTAATGGCGGCGGCGGTGGACCTGATGGCACCGGTCTGGACGGCATGAAGAACTCTCCAGCCAACGGCGGTCCGGGCACCCCGCGCGAAGACTCTGGAAGCGGCATGGGCGATTATAACTTGGGCGGCTTTGGCGGACCGGGCGAAAACGATCAAACCGAATCGGCGGCCATTTTAAAGATCAAAGAGAGCATGCACGAGGAGGCCAAACGATTCGAGAAAGACACAGATCATCCGGACTACTTTATGCCATAACAACATCATAGCCAACAGCAGCAGCATCAGCAACATCTCAATAACGTGGCAGCTGCAGTAGCGGCTGTAGTTGCTGCAGCCGCATCAAACAGCAACGGAGGAGCAGGAGGAGTCGCAGCGAGCTCAACGGCTGCGTCCATAGCGGCTGCGGCGCTTGGTGCAGCTGCCTCCAATTTGTTAAGCGGTGCCAGCAGCAACAGCAGCAGCAATACCCACAACAACAACAACGGCAACCAATCTGGCAACCCGACTGTGCCCAGTGGCGCTCATTTTGCAAAAGAACTCAATTTCTAAATACACGGTAGTGAAAATCCTTGGTACATAAGCATAAAGTAAAGTAAATTAAACAAATTATTATATCTAGTAGTTTAGAAAAAGAAAAAAAAAGATGAATGAAAAAAATTCAGAAAAAGAAAAAAACGAAAAGGCAAATGTATAAAATTGTAAACCGAACAGCTAATAATAAGCGAATCAAAACAAAAAGAACAATTAAAAAATACCATATTCCAACTCACATTCAAATTCAAATGCTAGCTGGCAACGCCAGTTGATAACAGCTGGGCCTGGTGAGACCCAGAGGTAGGAGAGCTATTAAAATACGAAAATCCACAAAAACAAGAGCAGCAAAAAGCAAATATACTTAAAATGTAATGTTAAATGCAACAACTACAATATGTTTAGCAAGTCTTTTGATTAGTTTAGTTGCAACAAGTCAAAACTGTAGCCCCCACTTATACAATCACACTCATACTCACACACACAATCTGTCTACTAATTTTTAGCGATTTAACAATTTATCTTGTGCTTTGCAATATTAACAAAAGTAAATAATACAACAAAAAAGGAAATAAAAAAGAAATTAATGAAATATTTATAGCTACACCATCAATGTACATTTTCTGTTTGTGTGATTTTTTAATATACCAATATATATATATACATAAACTAAGTATATAAATATAATAATATTGTATTGTAGAAATTGAGATGGCAAACAAGTTTTTTGTTAATCGCGTCTTAAAGCCGCACCATGAAAAAACGAAAAATGGAAAATGCTTCAGTACTGAAGTACAAAAAAAAAAATATATATATATAGATATATATATATATATATATATTTATATATAAATATATATTAAGAGTAAATATTTATAATACATTAAGGAGCATAGTTAGCATTATTAGATATGATATGCAGAGCCCTCAACATGTGTCTATGTGTGCGTGCTTCTCTTACAATGCACGATTTTATTTGTACTATGTTTTGTTCTCTATATTTTGTAAATTGTAAAGTTCATACTTTGTCGTCGTCGTCGTCGTCAATTTTAATTTCCATTTTCTTTTGGTTTCTAATTTGTTTTAAGTAATTCCCCGTAAGCCCTTATCATGCCAAACTTCAGTCTGTAAATTAAATTATGTCATTTTATTGTATAATATTAAGTTCCTTTAACTGCCAATTATGGCGGATCGAGCAATATTTATAATATTTTTTATTACATTTTCGATTTATTTCGATTTCTGCAAAAAAGGCAACAAAAAAGTCAACGATGTCGACATTGTGGCATTAGGGCAGCGAAAATAAAATATACATATATAATAATATATTATATATACATATGTATATAATATATTTATGTGTATGCACATATAATTATATGTACACACACATGAATTATTTAATTAATATTAATATTAATATTACTTAACGGCAGCAGGCAACATAAATGTAGCGAACCTAACGTAAAGATAAAGTTGACTTGCAAAATATCATATAAAAGAATTAAAGCTGTACAAAAGTTAGTTAATGTTGGCTGCATAAAGTATATACATATATAAATATATATATATATGAATAAAATAGTATGTCATTCACATTTATAGGCAGAAGCATATTGAAAACCCAAGAAAAGCGTAGAACTTAGATTTAAAACCTTATTTGTAAGCGTAAAAAATGATAAAAACTAAACTAAAGAAAGTAACAAAAACAAATCAAAATGAAATTCTTTGCATTATAAACACGAATCCCAAAATCAATTTCATAAATAATATAAAACAGGAGTTCGACAAATTCTATTTTAAATATTGTATGTATATGTTTAATGTGTCGGAATTTGGAATATATATATATATTTATATATATATATATATATATATATATATATATATATAT